CACACACATAAATTCCTATGCTATTTATCAAAACGTACTAATTTGTGCAATTGCCGATCGTACATGTCTGCATTACCATGATCACGCCCTTGATGGTGTGCCTTGCAATGACGAGAATAAACTGTTTATTTATTTATTTATGCAGACTAAAACAACTGTCATGAAACACCCTTAGAAGCTTCGTCTTCTTCCATTTAAAAAAGGCCTTTTTGTTAGTAACCAAGACATAACAAAACGACTTGGCCACAAGTTCGTCTCTATCATCGGTAGACGGCGGTTCCGATTAATCATACAGAGAGCAGCCGAAGCAGAGCTAACAAGTTAGATGAATCTGCAGCCCTTAGTAGATTGGTACAGTGCAGCGCAATTGTGATTCTACGTGTGGTCGGCCACATACTACTCTCTCCTTGTCTATTGAAATTGCAGTGTACAATTTGGTTCAACGGAACCTTAAGTGCGAACTCAAATTCGGTTTCAAACCCTAGTCGTCATACCCGACTGCAACTATCCTACGAAACACACTTCGATAGCCTGGTACCATGCATCGAACAATGCACTTCCGAACACCAAGCAAAACACCGTTGAACTGGACAACGTTGTCATGTGGTCTATGCAACCAAGCAACCGGGTTGTAGGACTTCGAGTTGCACAATTCCGCAGCAAGTTTGTTTCGTGTAAGTGTGTGTGTATGTGTGAGTGTACCCGGGTGTGCGCGTGTGTGTGTGTGTATGGATGCCTCTGAGGCTGCGCGATTGCAATCCATTGTTTGTGGCTTCTGATTTCTACAGCGAAGGCGTGCTGACCACCAGGTGAGAGCACTGCAGCGGTTACGTTGCCGATGCCACCTTCAGTGAACGCTCCTGTAATAAAAAGTAAGCGTTCAGCTGCGATCATTAGGTATTCCTAAAACAATAAGAATGCAAGCCATAGAAGATCGTCTGAAATTCATCGCGTCTAATTTGGCACAATTTTAGCCGGGAAACTGAGAGGATAGGACTTGCGTCATTTTTTGAAACGAGCGGAAATTTTAATTGGATTCCAGCAGCTCCTAGTATAAGTAATAGCTCACCATCTTGGGTAGCTTGTCGGCATGTTTGCAAAACAGCTGGGGATCCCTCCCCCTACCTCTGGTTCAATTTGTAGTCACTGTTCGAAAACATCGCGTAGGCTGACAGTGTTATCCACCCAGAGACTGCGGAATGACAGGCGGGCCTAATTACGCTCTTCCAGTCTTGGTAGCTTAGTAGTAAGCGCCGAAGTTGGAAACCAATTAAACACAAGTTAGGAGGTTTATTGAGATGTAGCAGGGAACAATGAACGAACGTGCGTAAAGCTGCTTCACTTCTGTTGCCCTAAATGGAGAAGTGCCTGTGTGCGCATGTGGAGTCTGTCGAAACGAGTGCAAGCACAAACTCCACATGAGGTGCTTTTCGAGCTAGTTGCCAGTCTCCTTTTCACCGCCCGACCCTGATGGGCTAACGTAAGACAACGAATGAATGTACTGTTCACTTTTATGTGACCGCAAGAGTCGAAGGCCTACATAAAATCCACATTTGAATCCCGTTTTTTCTGGTGAGGATTTAGAAAATTAGTTGATTTTTCTGGAAGTTGTGCTGTTGACCCGATGCTGCAGACGATATTCAATGTCTGTCGGTAGCGGCTGCCTCTCCGGACTAGGCCAATTGCCCATATAAGCGTACCTGGGAACGTACGGTGCTCTCGGAGTCCAGTGCAACTTCACTCCGGTTGTCCCAAGTACAATATCGACTTGCAGTGACGGTAGCCACGAACTCATTTCCCTCGCCTCTGCCCAACCCTGATGAGAATGCGCTCCAATCCAACCCTAAAATCAACCTCTCTTTAGGTCACATCGAGTATACCCCAGAGCTTCATGCTCAACCGACCTATTTGTCAGTGAAAGCGTTCGATAAAGCCACTTAGACGATTGTTTAAACGAGGAGTGCAGAAAGGTGGCAGGTCATGAATTATGACAGATGTCCCTACGATTTGGAAAGGAACAGGGACCACAGTGTTAAAAAATGCAGTACAGCCGAAGCTATTCGAAGGCAGTAACAGCAGACGACAAGGAGACAAAGCATGAAATTTTGTAGTTTAGACAGCTGGATCATCGAGGTCTTTAGCAAGGCACTTAAAAGCAAAGGGAAATTGGTTTTCGGGACGTATATATGCCAATCGCTCCCAAGATTGCACCGTAAGGCCAATGAAAAACTTGTATGGTAACAGTCATGATGAGAATCGGATAGGTGGTCTCCTTGCCCTCATTTTAACGCTTTGATCAATTTTGGAGAATGGATATGCAACTGTTAGAAGGGTTCATTTCTAAAGCACTAGCTGAGTTGCTGAAGCCATTAACGCAACAAATTAAATCCGACCCCAACTGGCTTGCTTTAAAAAGGACATGTGCTACACGAGTAAGACGGAATCGATCGAGTGATTTAAATAATTCTCGGGTTTTAGAGAACCCACCGTGGGTCTTGGATTGCGACATTCAATCTCAATTGTGGCTTCGGTTGACTTTGAAGTCAGCCTCTGTTTAAATTGCGTGTGCACTCCAACAGTTCGAATACAACATGAATTCCCTGCCCATGCACATAATGTGCTTTTACTTTAGTAGTTGATCAGAGTCACTCTCGCAGTTAGAGAACGCAATACCAAGGCCTGGAAGATCGTGAATTCTTGGCACTGTGGAATAAATAGACTCCTCTTAGTTTGCACTTTTCTTGCAGAAGCAACAATAAACTCCAGCCTAGCTGCGCGATTGTTAATCGGATTGCGTTGTACATGAAAGGCGAAATTATGACCCAGATGGTTTGATCTAGTCTGACAGCAGGCCTGAGTAAGACTACGTCAGAAACAGTAAATTTCAATGGAATTCGCTTGGTCACAAACTAAGTGGTGAGCGCTTGGACTAAAATCACCACTTCGGAATCCATCAGTAGTGGAAAATAGTCTCCGTCAGGTGGAAGGGTAGACCGTGAGTCAATGCAGTAACAATGGGATACTTGTTACCATTGGGACACAACAACAGTAACGTTGGTTCACATCAGTATGACTAAAACACCACGTCCCCTACAAAAACAAACGTGCGCACTTTGGGGGTTGGCATTAAGCAATCAAAATTTCTTGTACTTATACATAGGTTGACTGCCTCCTTACGTACAAACACAACTGCAGTTCGACAGCGGGTAATCTATCACACGATTCTGGAGGACTCATTCTTTGAGTAAACTAGAGGCCTTAAGTTGAATGAAAGAGTCGGACAAAATAAAATAAAATGTAAATCATACACCTGGCCTCATGTCGGGAAATGCTAGCTGACCATAAACGAAGTGACAGAGTGCTTTTAACAGTGCGAGATCCCATGACTCTTTGTGGGTTCAGATGGGCACTGTTCACGTCTGTCCTTGGAGATTTGTTTGTTTCGAAACCTTGGTGAACGCTAGCTACTAAAAACTAGTTACTACAGCAAAGCATTACAATCCGAGGGTACAGCACAACCAATTACCGCTATCTAATGGGAGTGCTCCAATTTCCGCTGGTGAACGAACCACAGCGGCAGTACTACTACTACTAGTACTACTACTACTAGTACTACTACTACTACTACTACTACCATTGCGTTATATGTACAGCCAGTTTACCGTTTAGTGGGAAATGCAAAGAGCGCCAGGCAACACTCGCGGTGGAGTTCGTGCTAAACCTGCGGATAAATCGATATTCTTCCTTAGAGTCCAATTTAAAAATTGTCGAATACTAAGCACAGTGCAAGCCGGTGATCGACCGTATGCGAGTCCGGAAGGATATGAAGATTTCAATAACAGGAAAGAGGATGACCCTGGGAAATGGCAGGGTCGAATGCACACAAATTGTCTGTGTGTTGTCTACATAGCGCTACTACTGAATTCATGGGCATCGCCGCTCCAACTGGGCCGTCAAGAATGACGCGTCTCCGTGTTGGATCACACGTTCCATAACGTTCTGTACAGCTTATGGGATGCGTTTAACAAAAGGATAGGAAGGTAGGCGCCAAAAGAGCTAACTGCACGTGTAATTAGCAAATGAGCTGCACCGTTTATGCACCCGAATACATGCAGTCTAAAGCTTTAGCTTAAATCACAAAATCTGAGTTGCCCGAAAAGTCACTGGTGATCCACACACCGATTCACATACCAGCGATGGGAACAATATTTATCTGAACCATTTACATGCTCCACGGTATGTTATCGTCGACTAAGTGCTGTTCTATCAAACGGGCACCGCATCCTTGCTCTGGCAGTGGTTGTTCAACTACGAAAGTAACTATGTATCACGTGTTAGAGTGGCGAGGTCGAAATTTTGGCAATTTTTGACTTATTTACTTAATTTCATAAGCTGTCCGCCGTTACTCGCCAAAGGTAATACCTAATATTATCTCACCTACAGCAAGTTCTGGGTAGTTCTATTTAAACAATTGTAAAAGCTCTAAAAATGGCCATTGCCAGTGAAAACTGTCCCCGGTCTGTCGGTTCACCCAGAGTATTATTAACTGCATGCCAATACGGCGACAGCTAGCCGGTAGACCAATCGTCTGGTGTCGTCCGCTGTTCTAATGCGGGAACTTCTACAAGTGAACCGGTATATCTACTGTTGAAACTAACACCAAATCATCAATTGCATTAAGGTGATAAACTTGGTTAATTCTTGGATTATTTTTAACCTTTTAGAACCACCGTTGAGAAAAAAATCCCTTCAAAACCAAGCGGATCAAAGACATAAAGCATGATGCTATACTCAGTTCTCCACCATACGCATTAGTCTAACCGTAACGGATAACATCATTCGGGGGTTTTAGAGACCCGAAATACTCTATCTAGGGGTGAACGAATTGTTTTCTGAGGCATAAGGGATAACTCAGCGGGTTTGAGATGGTAGTCAGAGACAACCGCTAAAGTAAAACAAACAAAGTATGAACCACAGACACTTCTCAACAGGCAACTCACGAGCACACGCGCTTGCTTTGCTTGAAGTGGCCCGTTCCCACGGCCGGTCCATGAAACCGGGTTTACATCGCTCACAATCCGGCCCGTCGGTGTTGTGTTCACAAACGCATTTCAGCTGCCCTGAGCTGTCCGTAATGCATTCGCTACCATGTCCGTTACATTTACATCGGCCTCCAATTGTCAGGTCGGCGAATGCGTAGAATTCTGACTCGGAGAGCACATCAGGTTCCACGGTGAACACGGGAGATTTGGACTGAGTGGAAATATGGGGCGCGATCAACTCAGAGGTCAGGAGCATGCTTCTGTTTGTCAAGTTCTGGTGATACAACGGCGGCAAGGTTAAGTCGGTAAAATCTACGCTTAAAGCGCGTGAAATGCGATTGCCCGATTGCATGAATTTGCGTGGTCTAAATTCTGTTCGCTGTGATTCTCGCTGTCTTCGAGACGCTCGTCGAGGATCTCGGTGTGAGTCAGGCATCCATCTGCGGGAAGACTGTCCATGACGAGTTGCTTGAACATTGTGGAGCGGTTGAACAGTACGCCTGGCTCTATGGTCCGCTATATTTTCTGTCTGCACCGGGGCGAACCGCATCAAGCTGATGCGTATGTCTGTCATGGACATCCAGTCGATTAGCGCTGGGCTCCATGGTCTAGAGGCTGGGCGGCCTAAAGTGGTGCTGAAGGCAATAGTGGAGTCTGGAGGTGGTTCCACCAAAGAGAAAGGCATATCTACCTTATGGTGCTGATACATGGTATGAATGGCGTTCATGGAGCGGCGTCTTCGGAGTTGTCTTGTGAGATAACTATCCTGTGGCTGCAGAGCTACACATAGTACCTCTTGCAAGTTGGCAGAGGTTATATGTGTATTGTGTTCAGGGGTGGTTGGAAGACCAAATGCTCGGTAACAGTCGGTGGAAAAGTAGTGCCAGGGGCGCCAAGTTCTTCCGAAGTCAGAAGATTTGTAAATCGCAATGGAATCAGGAAGAGTACCCATCGAACATGGCTGTAGAGCAATATAGTGGACCTCAAACCTTTTGCCCAGCGACAATGTCAAGTTGACAGCGTGCTCCGTTTTGCCTGCTCGGACGTAAGACGACGCCCAACATGTTTGATTGTGTGCAAAATGCTGATCTATTAGGCGATTTGCGGAAAAATGCAATTTGTTAGAATTCACATCACACACTTGGCAAGTGCCGTCGGAGCGACACAGTCGTTGCACTTTGGTAAGTCCGCATGTGGACGATGCTTGGATGAAATTTCCTTGAGCTATGTTCCGAAACGGTGGTAGACACTGAACGTCAACTCCACCTAGACGACATTGTGAAGTCGTCATATCGAGATTTAGGGGAGCCTGTCGAGGTTTTCTGCGAGAATGGATAACATCCTCAGATTGATTTAGCGGTTGGTCGGACTTTAGTGAATTTGCTTCCATTGAAACATGCAGGGTTGCCCGTGACCAGAACCAATTTAACACCGTAAGTGTACACAAAACACAACCGATTCTTCGGAAAGACATGTCACGCAGTTGATAGCAAAGTGGAGCGAAAATTCCAGGGAAATATAAAGCGCCTGAGAGTCACCCCGTGTGATCATGACAGCGCCACATAGGCATCACGGCTGCGTGCAACTCTTCAGAGCGGTAGCCACTCGTAAGCTTTCGGAATCATTTGACTTCCATCTCCCATGACAGCAGCTGTAAGCTCACAGGTGAAGTGGCCCCCGAGTTCAAATCACGTTTACGAGCGCTTTCGAGCCGGCTGCTACTTCGTTTGTCGGACGTGCAAGTAACGCGAACTCTCATCTGCAAGTGGGTGAAAGGTGTGCCATGTTGACAGGCTTCCCAGTTTACGCTCGTGCGCTGCTTGCGTGCCTGTCTAGCCTGTGGTTGTGCGTGCGAAGTTCTCACGTTAACTGACGGTCGTGATTGGCCAATACTGTGAAAGAAGCCGGCGTCCAGGCCGAGAGCCACGTGCCGACGCGTCATCGTGTCAAACGGTTGGTTAACCACTTGAGCGTGAATTGGCTAGGAGTTGACCTATATCTCCCGGAGCTGGTCAAATTGGGCGGGTAGCGGATTAGTTCACCGGTTTCTCCGATATGCTGACTATTCTACGAGTGATAGACTGTAAAAAATGCAACGCTTATGCGAACACCTACATATGGTGGCGAGTGAATTTTTGGCCATATATTGCTGAGATGGTGCATGTACAAAGCACGGTGCTCAGTTCAACTGCTTACACTGCAAACAAATTGCCAGTTGCCCAATCTTAAACTGAATAAGGGGGTAGGCTGTTGAAAATCAGCATGAATTGGTTCACAAGGTGTGGTAGTGTGAAATGCTCAAATAGCCCGGAACTGACTTCCATTTATGCACTGATTCCATCCTGAGTAAGCGTCTCCTTTTCTATGCTCCTCAGAGAGGTCTACCAGCGAAGACGGTCAGCTTAGGATTATCTCTCGGACTGGCTCTTGTTTCCTAGGGTTTAATGACCATGGGTGCCAAGGCCACCAATGTTATCAATATGGTGCAAAACCAAACGCCCCACTCTTTTGTGGATACATTGAACGCACTAATTGTCGATAACCGCAAAATTTGCGTTTGCTGTCTAAGGGGTACCACAAGGAAGAACTCGTTGAGAAATGTAAGTACTCAGTGTAGTTTACCTTGCGAATGAGCCGTGCGATGCATCTGGGCACAACACATGTTTGAAGTGGATTTACCTAGGTTTGCTGGTCTGTGAGTGTCACTATTAATGGAGTGGTAATTTTCACAGAACGGACAACGTACTATGCGTGCTTACTTGCTATCTGCATGAAGATCGACCAGCACTGATACCGCTGTGTCCTGAACAAATGGGGCCATCGTTTAGGTCTTCAGTCGCACATTATCGTCCAAGTTATTGATAGCCAAAATGCTGAATGGTTCAATTTGTCGTGCTTATTCATTCAAAAGATCAAGATCACGGTTAAGAATCTCTGTCGTTAGTAGCAGAGAAGGGTGGGATAATAAGGTTACACTGGGCCATTCACATACCTGTATTCCGGAAAATATTCGTCCACAAATTATGGGGCTCATCCCACTACAGCTAAGGTTCGTTGGCAAAATCGAACAATGGTATGATAGGTGAAAAAGAGATGAGACTTGACAGGTCCCGTAGGATGGTCTGTGTGAAATGTAAAGGAGAAAGGTTTTCAGACGGCGAACCCACACATCTCTGGAGTGGCTATAATTGTCACCTAACACAATTTAAATCCGCCTACCATAATTTAGTGGAGGCTAGCGACCATAATGTTTACCTATTATTGACACGCGATGGACATGAATTGTTATGCCAAGCAATGCAACTTGTGCAAGGTTTTGTCTAGCACTATTTTTGCAAATCGATAACTTTGGAGCAGAAATGATTTAGGTCGGAACGGCCTTACACGGTTGATAAAAACGCAGGAAAATAGAGTCCAGCAATATTCCAACTACGGACGGAGCCCTGTATACAGACCATTGGATATCACCCGACTGATGATTTACCTGCCCTAGGGAAAATTGTTCCCTTCGTGATGCATCACAACAAACCAAAAACACCACCATCCGCGTGTACAGTGCTAACATAGAATGTCTGCTTCAATTGCCAGGGTGCAGTGAACGGTGAGCAAGCACCAATCGAGAATGGATGTTGGCAAATCTCGTCGTAAAATTTGTTTACTTCTACTAAACCAATTGTACTACCCTTGAAATCACAAGCCGCAGTGTTTTCAGGCGGGCAACATCCAATTTTCATCAAGCCACAGTGGGCTACTATAGACCGGGTGGCGGCATCCGGTTCCGGATTTGAATGTCACTGTGGCCTCCTTAGGACAGCCACAGGACGCCTGCGTCGAGAGAGGGACCATGGATGGTTCGCGCTGCACCACCCACAGCTCCAACCACACACCCCATATCCAGGGGAAACCCGAAGAAATAAAACTTGGAGGCATGTGGATTGGAGCCACGTTTCATCAGCGAAGTCGGCCAAAACTACTTCACAGAAAAATACAAGCGTTTTTTGTGGGAAATCACGCACACACATGGCAGTGGTTGGACCGTAGTCCGCTCCACACTGAGAGCGTGGAATCACTCTTCAAGCCTAACACGGCCACAAGGACCGTGCACCCCGTCCCCTCTAGCAACGACCAACTGTCTCCTGGAGCCATTATGGACGAGGTAGTGGGTACTAGACAGTTAGGCAACTTGTCAATATGCACATCAAGCGCAGCCACACTGGGGATATCAAGCAACAGCCAATCAGTTGAAATGATGACATCAATTACAAAAATCAAGTAAAGAATACGGTTATGCCGACATAACTCTTTGCTCATTTAGCATATGAAAATAATGGGTTATTAGCATATTTGCGAAAATTGTAGATGGCAAGAAAAGAGACAAAGACATTTGCAACAAACGTGTATGACTTTAAAGAAAATGCCACAATTCCCCTTAGGCGAAACGTATAAGTAAAGGAAAATTACTCAGATTGACATTAAATGAGTTAAAAAAATAAGTATTAACAGAATCTAGAATACCAATCACCTGCAATAAAGAAACGGTATGCAAGCACGCAGTTAGTAAATCGAATGCAGCTTACCTACAAACGCTGCGCAGGTTCCGCTTACGTTCTCAGCAGGACCCGTCGTCGTTTCGATGCTGGTCCCGAGTGGCCTCGCTCGTGGCTCACTAGGTCTGCCTGACACAGGCACTCGCGGCCGCATGTCCTATAACACCATGCACCCGAAGATGGAGTACACGCCATCGGCGCCTACCGTTTCCGCGACTTTCGCTTCTTCTCGGCATGCACGAAGGCTTTCGCCTGCACCTCGGCAACTGCGTTCGTGATCAGATCGTGTCATGCACGCCGATCAAAGACCTTCGAGCGCAAACACCTGAAAAGACACTAAAACCTGATAGGCTCACCCTGATTTTGTATATATATATATATATATATATATATATATATATATATATATATATATATATATGGCGAGAGAGTTTATGGTGCGCTGGAGCTGCTGGTGGATACATCCTGACAGATGGTCTACGCGCTGCTGCAACTGTTGTGCCACAGTCTCATATCCTGGACGTCACCTCGTTGCGACCTCTGGGTGGGAGTTGGACTACGCCCTTCTCCCTTCTAACATCCAGGATACCAATTCGCATGTGTCAGTGAACTGACCATGTGCCAGCCCCGCTGTCTTTCGGGTGTACATTTAATCGAGGGCTTTGGCGGAGGACCCGAGTCATTCTCCTGTCAGGTGTGGGCGCCCTGCCAGTATCCTAGTTTATCCTCTTTGGAGGTTAGGAAGTGATCGGTGGTCCTCTTTCCGTAAAACCCACCCACATCAAGCTAGGAAGCCATTGGTCAATTTGGCGCAAATCCGCCCAAACCCACCTGCGTCTGGCCGTAGTCACAGGTGCGTACCCTACTACTGTCGCGAAACTTAAATGAATCGTTCGAGTACCTCAAAGGCTGTGTGGGACGGCCGTCAAATAAATCCAAATCTGTCTCTGCAATCACATCCCCGAGCTGGATCTGCTCCCCACTAACTTGTGGGTCAGACGCTTGAGGCAAACGCTCCGTAGGGAGTCTCTCAAGCAAAACTCCGAAGCACAACCGCCAACTAGCTTTCCATTGCCCACTAATGCAATCGTATGCCTACGCGCAAAGCACCCAGCTCGGGTGCTGGAACATGCGCGTGCTACTGGACCCGAACTCGAGTGAGCATCCCGAGCGAAGCACTGCAATCGTCGCGATGGAACTGACGAGCTACAACATCCATATTGCGGCGCTCAGTGAGACCCGACTCGATGAATAAGGTAAGTTGCATGAAGCAGGTGCTAACTACACATTCTACTGGGTGGGCAACACCGCCTTAGCACCACGTGAACACGGGGTCGAATTTGCAATATCGGATCGCCTGCATGGCCAGCTGGTGGGTGAACCAACGGGCATCAGCGCGAGACTGATGACTGTTCGCCTACGACTCGGAAGAGGTAAGTTTGCCACTTTTATAAGCACGTACGGTCCGACCGTGTGTTATCCTGATGACACGCGTGATCAATTCTACACTCAGCTATCCTCCGTGATACGGTCTGTGCCGAGGAGCGACCGACTATTTCTGCTGGGTGATTTCAACGCGCGCGTTGGGCGTGATGCATCAGGTGTGGACAGATGTTATCGGTTCGCATGGCATTGGTTCAGCGAATACGAACGGTGACAGGCTGCTCTCACTGTGTGCCACAGCCTGACGGACATGAACACCTGTTTTGCCCTGAGTGCGAGTGATATAGCAACTTGGATGCACCCACGGAGTGATCACGCTCACCTGCTCGACTATATCATCGTACGTCAGCGTGAAATGCGTGAAGTGCACATGACACGTGTACTGCGTGGAGCTGAGTGTGGCACTGCTCACAAATTGGTGCGGGCCAAACTGTACATATATTTTCGTAAATCTCTGTATTGCACTCCCGCCGTGAATCGGCGTAAATATAACATTCTCTGCCTCGGTACTGTGGTGACACGTATTGAGCTGGAGAAGGCGATGGCTGCACTCCTGTGTGATGTGGAACGCATAGCAACAGTGAGCGACCTGTGACACCACATTCGCGACCAGGTGAAAGCTGCTGCCGAGGAAACCACCAGGCGCACAAACTGTAAGCGGCCTGCTTGGTTTGATGAGAACACTGCGACGATTTCCGCATTGGTGTGTGAGAGGACTGCAGCATTTACTGTACATGTGGCAGACTTCAGGGACTTGGGGAAGAGTAGTCAGTTTCGCAAATTTCAGCGGCTACTGAACCGAGAGCTCCGTCGCATAATAAATACATGGTGGACTGAGAAAGCGAACAAGATGGA